CCTCCCATGGTTACTAAGCCATGACTTGAGCAAGAGTAAAAAATCCTTACATTATCCAACACAGATCTGGCCCACGTGAATTCTGTGACCTCATCACCAACTACTCTGTTCCTTGTTCACACTGTTTTTACCACAGCAGCCTCCTCACTGTTCCCAGTCACACCAGGCATGCTCCCATCTAAGAGCCTTCACAACAATTGCTTTATCTCTGTGGGAAATACTCTTCCTCTAGGTACCAGCATGGCGTATTCTCTCATTCCTTCAAGTTCTTTCTTGTGTCCCTTCTTAAATGTCACCTTTTCCCAAAGCCCTATCTGATCACTCTATTTTAAATTGTCACCCTCCAGATCATGCTATATTCCTTTGCAGCTTAATTATTTTTTCATAGCACTTACCTCCTACAGATACCATATAATATTCTTATTTATCTTGTTCATCATCTGTCTCACCCCCCCCCCCAAACACACACAAAGTGTAAGCTCAGTGAGGGCATGGACTTTTGTCTGTTTCTTCACTGCTATATATTCTGTACCTGAAACAGTATATGGCACATCGTAAGTACCCAGTGTATAAATAAATTAACAAGCCACCTAATGTAGGTTGTAGTATCCCAGTACTAATTAATTGGAGGTGGAGATTTCAATTTTCATAAGCTTGGAGTCTTAAAGTTTTGTTTTTAATTTGAATTATTTTTAATCTCCATTACATCTTAGAGTCAACTTAAATGTTCTTGTATTGTTAGGTTCTGAACTTTGCCAGGATGGAACAACAGTAACCCAAAATAGAATGTATCCTTGTCATATTGTTATCCAGTTTAATAAATCACCATTCTGTATATTCTAAAGGGTATTTAAAATGACCTACAAAATATATTAAAATGTGATAATTAAGCCAAGGGGAAGTACAGATAGGAAAAAATAAAATGAAATAAGAGGTGAGATTATCATAGAATACAGTATGTAAAGTCCTGTTCTCTTGCTAGGGGTGGATCAAACATTTGGCTCTGAGCTTTCTAGTAGCTAATGCGAAAACAAAGGCAAGAAGGGCATGATTCACTTATTATCTCAGCCTTCCAAGAGCAATCCAGTTCTTCACTCTACCACTAGGTGGCGTGCCTTTCCACGTTATTAGATTACAGAGCAAGCCCCTCAATGCAGTCCTAAACTGAGACTAATATTAATAATAAACACTCTTTCTGAATTACATACCTGGCTATTTACCTTCACCATTTAGTACTAGTGCAGATTTGTGGAGAAGCTGTTAATATCCCTACTTTAGTGATAAGGAGACAGGTTCAGAAGTAAAATCTCTTGCATAAGCCTGGATTCCAAATTAGATCGCCGATTTTTACACCACGTTGTCAACCCGCTGTCATTTGGAAAGCCTAAGACAGGTCTTCTTATTTCTAATTGGTGGAATTCTTGGGACGTTCTCGCTGAGTGGAGGGTTTTCTTAGTGCTGCTGCCACAAAATGCAGTTGGAGTCAGAGACTAATTTTGGCCCTGACACTTAAGGAGCTGTTTTAGACCAGGAAAATCATTTAATCTGCGTGCCTCAACTTCCTCTTCTGTCAAATGGGAATGACTAAATCTTCTTCACTTAATTCTGAAGGTGGTATGAGGATAGAATGGAGAAAGAGATGTGAAACACCCTGCAAAGTAGAAAACACTATAAAGTAATGTATTAAATCCAGCATTTATTGAACGCCTACCATAAACTGGGCACTGTGGTAGTGGTGTAAGGCAATACTACTCAAAGTGTGGTCCATGGGCCAGTGCCAGTCCACAAACTGTTTACTACTGGTCTGAGACAAGAAATTGAAAGTAAATGTTTCAAAACCTTGACAACAATTTGACAGAATAATTTTGTTTGTTGAATATAATCATTAGAAAATTGGGCATGTATTTTGAATGTCTCTGTATTGATTTCATTTTTCTAGTAATTCATTTTTATTGTAATTTATAAAAGTATTGGAACATGATGGATTTGTGGGGAAATTGTCGTTCTTCACAAATGGTTTGAAAAGCACTGCTGTGATGAATATAAAGGAAGTATAGGCCATGGACCGTGCTCTCAAGGACCTCTCACACTAGGGGGTGAACAGGTACCACCTGGTTCTGAGAAACCACTAACATTGTTCCATGTGCTTCAGTCCTTCACGGAACAGAAGGCTATACAGATCTGGATGGACTCAACAGATTAGAGACCTGCAAATCCTCCAAAGCACTCCCTAAACAAACTCTTATATTTGCCCCGTTAGCATACCGGTAGCACCAATGTAGATAGAATTGGACTTCTCTCAACTATTGGACAATCTGATATGGCATTTTTGAAAAGTAAAATTTCTCATAACTATCTGTCAAAAAGTATGCTGGGCCCAATAAAAGAACTATAAAGACTGGGATTTGCATACCATAGACTTTCTAGTATATGCTTACTAACGGGGCCAACAGGGTTTTTCTTCAGCTGGCAGTAAGCTAACTAACTGGCTCTTCGATCTGAACACTATCCTTGACAGGCTATTCAAAAATTTTTCCATATAACTTTTTAAGATATATAATTGAATGGGTAATATGCTCCAATAGCAAAAAATGGAGAAAGTACACAACTCCACATCCTGCTTTTCTCACATACTATATACCATAGAGAATTTTACATAAAGAGCTTTCTCATTCGATAGATGTACCATTATTTATTAGATCAGGTCTCTATTGATGGACATCTGATTGTTTCTCATTTTTTGTTATTGCAAACAGTGTTACAGTGAATAGCCTTGTACACACAGGAGTGTATACCAAGCTGTCAGCGATCAGTGGTGACTCCAAGTGGTAACATGGGTGTACTGCACCCATCTTATATTCGCCATAAATCACTCCTGCCCAAGCTCTCCCAAATAACGACTTTATTCCAAGTAGAGCCAATATGCTCACTCTATAGAGGTAGCTTCATGACAAATCTGCTTATAACCAGATTGCTTGAAATCATAGTAGTGAGAATAAAACATCCCACATTTGTCCAGAGGGCAAGTTTCTTTGACTCAGAGAAGCAGCCTTGATTTCTAATCCAGGTGCAGAGCTTCAGATAAGAGGTATCTGGACACAACATTCCACATCTATCTTTGCTTTGTGGTTCCCAAGGAAACAGGACTCTGGATTCACAGCCCGGACCTGATGTTGACCTCTTCACACAGCCGGGTTTTGACCTCACCAAAACAATGCTTCGTTTAAAATCTACCTAAACTCCACCCTTCCCCCTGAATCCTATAATAACTTTTTTTCTTTGTTTGTTGAGATGTCCCATGGTTTTTCTGGTGTGGGGTCTCCCTCATTGCAATGGGTCAAAAAGCCTGACTTAAACAATTTTATTGATTGATGAGAGGGAGAGAGCGAGGGAGAGGGAGAGGGAGAGAGAGAGACAGCCATCATTCTTGTTCAACTCATTCAAGCATTCATTAACTGATTCCTGTATGTGTCCTGAATGGGATTGAACCTGGGGATTGAACCACAACCTTGGCATATCCAGACAATGCTCTAACCAACTGAGCTACCCAGCCAGGCCTTGGTGGCTTTGCACTGCCTGGGTGTTTTGTATCCCTGGCCCCTTAGCTTGCCCAAAGTAGGCATTGAAAGTTGCTCACTACAGTAGGCTCGTAATTAGAGTCCTGGGGTTCTAGTTAGATTACCTGGATTGATTATATGGATTCTAATCTCAGTTCCACCACTAGCTAGTTAGCAGGATCATCTATAATAATAAAAGCATAATATGCAAACTGACCGAATGACCGAACAGCAGAACGACTGTCCAGATGACCTTCTGGACGACCCTCCAGATGACTGCGCTATGATACACACTGGCGCCAGGCCAGCCAAGGAAGGTGTGATGTGATTGGTCGGGAGGCCTTGCCATCACCCCATGATCGCCTTGCAGAGGGAGGCCCAGGCCACCAGCTGGTGACGCTGTGGCGGGTGTGCGGGGCAGGCCAGTGATCACCCTGCAGAGGAGGCCCAGGCCAGCCAAGCGATCACACCCCATGCCTGTCACCTGCAGAGGGAGGGGACCAGTGGCAGGAGAAAGGGGGGGCAGTGTCGTACAGATGGCAAGCAGTGGCAGCGGCATGTGTGGGGCCAGATGCTGGCAGCCGGGGGAAGGAAAGCCCAGATAGGCCTTGATCGTCGGCCAGGCCTAGGGACCCTACCCAAGGGGTCCGGGATTGTGAGAGGGTGCAGGCCAGGCTGAGGGACATCCCCCCCCCATTGCACAAATTTTGTGCACCCAGCCTCTAGTCTTACATAAAAGTCAATGCAATTGATGTTTTTTCTTCTGTAAAAGGAGGAGCTGTGACTTATAATACTAGGGCAAGGGTTTTGGCATTTGGTAGACCCACTTACTATCACTTACTAAGACATGTGACTTTTGCTTTTCTGAACCTCCCTTTCTATTTTAATTATTAAAATGGATAAAATACTAAAAACTGCCGTGTAGATTTCCCAGTGCAATGAGAATCAAGTTGGCTGTTACAAGCATCACTATATTTGATCATTATTCTTAACTTCCACTATGTGAGTTAGGACAAGTTAACCTTTCTGTGTCCCTGTTTTCTTATAAATAAAAGAGGAGAAATAATAGTCCCTAAACCAATGGGGTTATTGTGGGCATTAAATGATATGAAAATAATAAAGGTCTTGAAAAGTGTCTCACATATTATTAGAGGCTTAAAATTCGTGAGCTAATAGAATTAGTATTCGATTTCTATTACTAACTACTCTGTGGGCTAGGAGCTCAGGATAAACAGTTTCATGCTAAGCACAAAACCAAAAATCGTTCCGCAGGCTCGAAACAGTGAAACACAATGCAGTACTTCTCTTTCAAAAGCAATGGACACGCCCAGCAGTGGGTTGAGGGCCTGCCCAGTCCTCATTAAATATGGCAGCGAGGGGGGGGGCTACCTATTGCGGCTGCGCAAGCGTAAACCCCTCCCAGCTCCTCGATCTCAGCTGCAGTTTAGGTCCCGCCGCCACCCGAGCTGGCATCGCCCCCTCCCCGCTTGCCCAAGGTGTGGGGAGAGGGCCCCCGCCAGGGCGCGCAGGCGCAGACGTCAACCGTGCTTGGCCGATACTTGGCAAGGCGCCCGTCACGTGAGCAGCGCGCCCGCTCTGCTCCCTCTCCTCCCGGCTGGGCTGTGAATGAAGCTCAGCCGGCTACGTGGGGCGCTAACTCAACTTGGTGTTCTGGGCGCCAGAGCCAACTGAGCGCTCGGCCCGCCAGCCGCGGACACGGGCTCCACCGCTCCAGATCTCGGCGACAGGTAAAGACATACGAGCTGTCCCTTCCCCAACAGGTCCTTCGCGGCCCGCTGGCTCCTGGCCCACCCCCCAGCACCCCCTGCGTTCAGCGACAGGGAGAAGCGCTCCCCCGCTGGCTCGGCCCCCTGGAGATGGGGGGTTCCCCAAGCCTGGCCGCCGCCTGGCACTCGAAGGAGTTAGACCGGCTAGTTCTAGCCAGCGAAGGGTGGCATCTTCTCGGGAGCCCAGCCCTAGTCTCCGAGCTCTGGTCCCTGCGCGTCCCAGCAAAGTTTTCTCGCGGAGCGGCGCCAAGCCCGCCCGCTTTTGAAAGGGGGAGGTTAGCTGCAAGGCGTCCCTTTTCCAGAGCTGGAGCAGGGTGGCTTTGGCTGGAAAGCTCTGTCAAGGCCCCGTTCTTCTGCCTCCTGCTCGGGACTCACTGGGTGGTGTGGGTCTTACTAAAAGTGGAGTCCAAACTCTCAGAAAACTAGTTGCTGCTAGTTTTTCTTTTCCCACTTAGCGGAAAGGCGGTTCTTTCCCGATTGTCCAGGCTTGCGCCTGAGTGCCTTCACCACGAAGGGCTTTTCCTTCACATGGATGCGCCTTTACCTTACATTTCAGAGCAAATCAGTTTCCTGGACTGCCAAGTGAAGCTGTACCTGTGCGCCTGATAACGTCAGTGTAAGCTACCTCGACTAAGTGAAGGAAATCCAGAAGTGTGGAGCCTAAAAGCCAGTAAGAATCGACTTTACATACACTCCATACGTTTATTAGCAATTACCTGGGTTGGACTTCAGAGATGTTAAATTTTGCTTGTTTCCACCAAGCGTGGATCGATACTATGTAACTGCACCCGAAATAAGGGCGGGGGTGGGGGGGGGCGGGAATAAGGCAAACCCAAACACTGTTCCAGGTTCTGGATAAGTAAGTCCTCAGAGCGCTTTTTTCCCCCATGGCGAATCCATCCTAGCACTTTGTGGATCTTTCTTTATGCAAAACATTGCCTTTTCTCTGTTGGTGTTTTTGAAACTAGTGTACACCATTCGCACTTTGTCCTTAAAACATCCATTAAGAAGGCCAAATGATCACTCTGAAGTTTCTGTTAGTCTTCAGTACATGTGTGCTAGTGCTTTCATTTCACGGTGGAGGTGTTGCATGTATAAAAGCTATGGAGCCCAGCCAGCGTGGCTCAGTGGTTGAGCGTTCACCTATGAACCAGGAGGGGTTTGATTCCCTGTCTGGGCAGGTGCCCAGGTTGCGGACTCCATCCCCCGTGTGGGACGTGCAGGAGGCAACTGACCATTGATTCTCTCTCATCATTGATGTTTCTATCTCTCTCTCTCCCTCCCTTCCTCTCTGAAATAAATAAAAATATATTTAAAAAATATATTTTGAATGGGGGAGGTTAGATTTTTATGGTTTCCGCCTCCTACTGGGGATCGAACCTGGGACACTTCAGTCCCCGGGCCCACGCTCTATCCACTGAGCCAAACCCGCTAGGGCTGATCAAAATTTTTTTAAAAAATAAAAGCTATGGAAATAGCAATGTGCTTTGATGTTGACCAGGTCAGAAAGGTGAGAACTTTTTCTTTAAAAAAAGCAAGTTGGCTGATATGCTCAGTCAAGGAAAACCAATTTATTAAGAACTTGTTTAAATGGACAAGCAAAGTGTTCAATATATTAAAACTTGAAATCAAAGTAGTCAAATCTTTCATTTCCCCCCCATTCCTAGCGCCTTTTAAAAAATGTTTTCATTGATTTTTTTTTAGAGAGAGAGAGGGATAGAAAGATAAAAATATCAATGTGAGAGAAACACCAATCAACTACCTCCTGTATGCTCCCTACTGGGGATCAAGCCCAAAACCCAGGGACCCAGGCATGTGCCCTGACTGGGATTCAAACCAGTGACCTCTCGGTTCATGGGTTGACACTCAACTACTGAGCAACACTGGCTGGGCCCTAGCATCTTTTATATCCTTGCAAATAGTATTGTCCTAAGGTGGAATTTGACATTTTAAAAATAGGAATGAGCTGGATTGATTTGACTTTACTTAAATTAGTATTTTATTTTTTCTTTGGTCTTTCTCCACACCCTCCCCCATTATAAGAGCAACATACTGCCCTACCCGGTTTGGCTCAATGGATAGAGCGTTGGCCTGCGGACTGAAGGGTCCCAGGTTCAATTCCGGTCAAGGGCATGTACCTTGGTTGCGGGCACATCCCCAGTAGGGGGTGGGCAGGAGGCAGCTGGGCGATGATTCTCTCTCATTGATGTTTCTAACTCTCTATCCCTCTCCCTTCCTCTCTGTAAGAAGTCAATAAAATATATTTAAAAAAAAGCAACATATGCTCCCTATAGGACATTGGCAAAGTGTGGAAAGTATAATGAAGCAGAGAGGAAGAACCACACAGAGGGCATCACTCTTTTTTTTTATTATGCTTCCTTCCTTTTCTTTTCCTATATAAGATCTATTTTAAACTTTAAGTAGTCACAAAATTTGCTGTCCTTTCTACAATTTCTTTTAATGTGAAGTCGGGGGTTTGGGGAGGGCATTGGATATTATGCTGCTCTTTATTTCCCAAAGCATGGAACATCAAGATAGGAAAGATGCTTAACAATTATCCAAGCATCTATTCTTGAGATTCCAAATCCCTTTTGTTGAAGGTCCCGTGATTCACGCAGAATTGGACAGCACTCAGTGGCAATGTGAACTGACTCTTGATCCCCCCATTTTATGTTTCTGCAGCGATCCCTTGCTGCTTAGGGGGAACTTGATACTGCCTGTCTGCGTATCATTGAAATAGACACTTAGGGAGGGACAGGAGATCATTTTCAAGGATTTGAAATATTTTTTTAAATTCAAGTTTCCATGTTTTGTTTACATTTTCAGGGTTGGGGCTTGAACATCTGTCATAAAGTAAGACCACACTGCTGCTGTTCCATCTATATCCTGTTAAAGCCTCCCTACAAAACTGGGGTGCTCTGGGAAACTGAGGCTGTGACCCCAACGTGGGAGTGGATAGGATCAACATGGCCATGTGGCAGGGTAAGAAAATTAGCACTCATTCCTCTAACTGGTTTTTCCTCCTCGATCTTCCATCCCTAGTTCCCTCAACCTCAGCTAGTGGCAGGCAGCCAGCTGTTTCTTTAATTTAACCCTTTGTCTTCACAAGGACAAAGCATTTGTGTTTGGAAGAAGTTTCTGCTAGCTAGAAGTTAAAAATATTTTAAAGTGGGGATGGAGGGGTGGTGGGGGAAGTAGAAGGAAAATGTCGTGCCAGAAGCATTTCCAAAAAACTTCCTTTGTTTGAACATGTGCTCGTGGGGGTTATATATGAGGAAACAGCATATTTTTTCATATTTGTGTTTTTCATTTGTTCCTGGCAATTTTCTATCATAAGGTTCTCAAAGGTGAAGGAGACAGATGTCAACACCTTCCTAGCATCCTCTTCCCAGTAAAAACTTTAAAGCATATTTAATGTTACAATGTTTATGTTTGGTGATAGAAGGAAAATGCCTGTTTAATATTATGAATTACTCAAGAGCAAAGCTCACTGATATCTTGCCTGCTGGATTATATCTCTTGGGAAGCTGTGAATTGCTGCTGGCACAAAGTTATTTCTTATTTTTAGTGGGGTTGATAATATCCTTTGGGATAGTATCAGAATCTTCGGGGGTTCGTGGGATTTTTATGTTATCAAAAGGGAGTGTAGGTTTAAGACATGATAGAGAAACTACCCAAATTGGTCTATGACCCACAAAAGGTTAAGGATGGGGTAGAATGAAGAGTTCAGATGTCTATAAATACTCAACAGGTAGGTTTGTTGGTGGTCTAATGTAGCTTTAAAAACTGTATCCTGTTGGTTATGGCTTCAAGTATGGAGTCACACAAATGTAACAACTATTTTTTGATATAAGAGGATTGTCAAGTTAAAGACATTTGTTGAAATGGGATTCGGCCTGTATGCCTGCTTTGACTCACACAATAGGCATTTATCTGGAGCAGTTTGAATATTCTTGTTAAATCCTGAGATATTCATTCATTCAATAAACAAAATACAGAGTTGAATAATACATGGGACACTAGACAGTTCCTTGTCTTATGGAAAAGACAGACAAATAAACAAAAATTGTGTCAGGCTGAATAAGTGTTATAATAGGGAGAGGTTCAAAATGCAATAGATGCCCAGAGGAAAGCATAATGAACTCTGAGTTTTGAGCTGGTCTAAATAAATGAGTGGGAATTTGCCAGATGGGCAAATGAGAGAATTGCATTCTGGGCAGACAGAGAAGCACTGTTTGGGAACTTCCAAGTTGCTCTGTGTGCCTCTTGTGAGATGTGTGGGGCATGACCTCAGATGAAGCTGGGAAGGTAGTTGGGGGGTCAGATAAAAAAGAGCCTTGTATGTTTTATGGAGGACTTTACACTTTATCCTGAAGACAAAGATTCTAAACATGTCAGTAACATGGTCAGATTTTGTTTTAGGAAGATGACTTTGGCAGCAGTGTTGAAGTGGGGTTGGAGCTGGGTAGAATGAAAGCCAAGAGCCATTTGGAGAGTTTCTGCTTTAGGGAAGAGATGGTACATGTCTGAGCAGAAACAGAAGCAACAAAGATAGAATGGAATGAGTTCTAGAAATGTTCAGTGACCAGATGTGGGAGGAAGTGAGCCTGGGCCACTGGTGTTATTCACTCAGATGGGGAATGTGGGAGGTGATGAGAAGTGCATGGGGATGGATGGTAGGAACTTACTGTACTTCGTTTCGTTTGGCTTGTTTTGTTTGAGACACCTGTGGGCTGTCAGGTCACTGTTTAAAAGCCAATTATGAAACTATGGGACTGGAGTTTGCGCAGGTGAGGCTCTGAAGTATTGTTCTAAATGATGCATAAAAAGCACATGTGTTTTGTCTGTGTTCAATGGAAATGTCATTAGTAGTTAATGATTTATTTATTTTATAATACATATATTTTAATGGATAATAATTTTTAATAAA